TCTAAGCTTGAAAGCTGCAGAGGTTCTTTGCCACTTTGACATTTGTGGCAACCTCTGGACGTTTGTTGACACATTCAATTTGGATACCTACAGTGAAAGCAGTGTTTCTGCCAAATGGCAAAAGGCTGATGACCAAAAAGTGTTTGTACCAACTGGGATGGTCAAATGTGCAGCAATGTGGTCTGCTGCCAAAGGCAATTGCATAGTGACAATCATCCCATTACACTTGAGACCAATGATGTCTCGAGAGGGACCTTCTTGTGTGCATTGTGGGAAAAGCAGCACTGGCAGTGTATGTGGAAACAGTTTGGCACTTTGTGCTAGACTGTTGGCCTTTTGGTGGTTTCAAACACCTTTTTGTTACAGGTATTCATCTTCAGAGATGTTTCATTTCAGTTTGCAAATTCTTGTTGGGGAATGTGTACATGATGAAGTGAAGGACTCTGCATGCACACTTTCACTTGTGATGAGCTGGCACGCCTATTGCATTGGAATGCTTTGTCATTGCAACCCAGTGGCTTGCCCAAAACTATGGCAGATCAACCATGTGTGGCAGTGAATTGATTGCATGCTTTCTGCCCACCTCAACAATGCCAAGTTCCTGGCAGGAGGCATTCATGCATCCTTTTGGCAATACAAATAGCTTAGAGGGACCAGGCTTTACTTTGTTGCTGTTGACCTCTGCAGCAGGTTTCAAAGTACATGACAAGCATGGGAAAATTCAGGCAACCAGGTGTCTTGTGCCAAGGGCATGTAATTTGTGCATTGATTGGAAGCAGTGATTTGCTTGGTGTTCCTGGAATAAAATCATTGAAGGCTAGGTACCACTGCAGCTTGCAAGAGCTGTGAAGTGCAAAAAAATATATGTATGCTGAGGTTTTTCTTTAAGCTTTGGGACAGCTAACCACTTAGCCAACCACTTAGCTAACCACTTAGCACTTAGCCATCTTTGAGGCTAACCACTTAGCTAACCACTTAGCTACCCACTTAACTTGCACCCATGTTAAGTGGTTTGCTAACCCACTTAGCAAACCTTTAGCGAGGATAGTAACCTCTATGCTAACTAACATAAACTCTCTAAGTGCTTAGCAACCCCCCGGCTCATCTAAGTAGGGACTCTATGTCAACTTTCTCCCAGCTAATGGGCTCTATGTCAACTTTCTTCCAGCTAATGGTCCACCCTCTTCGTCTTGCCTTGTACAGTGCACATGCAGGGGGGCACAGGAGGCCCATATAGAGCTGTGCCCAACGAAGCTCTCTATGGCGGCCTCAAGATATACAGCCTGATCAGCTGCACGTACCTGCGCAAATTTTCAATCCTGAGTGATTTGAACAATACCGTTCCTGGACTTTTTCACCGTGCCGTTCTTCACAGGGCCATTTCATAGGTTGAGGTTTGAGCGCCCTAGTCTGGTAATGCAGTAACTAATTTTAAAGTGCTAATGCTCACCGTGCATCTCTGAAGCACAGCTCCGCGGACCACTCATCTTAAGTGTGAGTGAGTGAGTGAGTGAGTGAGTGAGTGGGTGGTTGGGTGGGTGCGTGCGTGCGTGCATGCGAGCGTGCGTGCGTGCGTGCGTGGGTTGGCATTTGTTGATCCATGTTACGATCCAACAGAGGTTAAGTTATCTTATAGGACCCGTAATCTGGGGTACCTATGGGATAGTCGACAGGGTTCTTCAACCTCGGTTGGAACTTCCATCAAGTGGTGCAAAAACCGGCTGACCATCCTGCTTGCAGGATTTTCGGCCCGATGCCTTCGTCCTACCATGAAACCAATTTCGGTGCACTCAACAAGCAAGCTCCAAACCCATCCTATTCGCCCACTTGGGTTGGGGAACCATCCTGGCTGTTCTTGCATTGGGATCTGGCCCTTGCTGTATTACCATAACCTAGAGCGCATTTGACCTTTGCTTCGATTGGAAAAGACCATATTTGGGCTGGTTGGGTGATCCAAACATATCCAAACTAGAGGTCACGAGTTTCGGATGATGCCAATGGTAGATGCACACTTACAAACAGCTGGAGCTTCATCATGGCGCTGCCATGTGGGTGTAGAGCTCAAGTAGGGGGAGCTCCCAGTTCGACCACCTGGAAGAGGGAAAAGCGGCCAGTCTACCCAACCAGGGGTGTCTCCGAAAATGCATATCTATATGTTACAATATGTATATATATATATATATACCCTGGGGCCCCAACCACGTCCTCAAAAGGTGGTTGGGGTGGGTGCCAGGGGGGTCTAACCACCGAACCTGAGGATATGGTTGGAGTCCTAGGGACATGCAGTTGTTTCAAAGCAGATGCCACTGGCACCCCCCTAAACCACCCAACCCAACGGGGCCCTGGCGTGCCACTCCGACAGGTCAACGCTGTGACCTTTGGGGTATGTGGTTACACTCCCGAAAACTAACATAGACCCTGACGTCCTGGTCCCATGGAAGGTTTTTTTTCCTCTACTAACCAGTGGTTTTTAGGTTCCATGTTGGTCTTCTAGTGTGTACTAATTTCGATTCTTAAGGGGCTACGGCAGGACACCTCTTAATAGGGAACCCGTGATATATATGGAAAAACACTAGTAGTGACCTGGTGGATGGGTCCTGGTATATGAGTTCTGTTGATCTGACCACAGGTCAGGTCTGGTCCCACCTCCTCAGGTCTTCGCGATGCCCGGGAGCGATCCGAGCAGTGCAGACGTTCGGCGCAGGGTGGATGGGAGTGGAGGGAGTCGCTGAAATGGAAGTGGATGACGGGAAACACCCGGAAATCAGCACCCTGTTGAGATCTGTTGAGGAACATGTGCTTTTCCGGCAATCTTTTTGGAGTCCACTTCCATGGTAGATCATGTTAGTGAGTCAGAGGAGACCTGTTGCAAGTCGTGAGTTGCATGAAGAATCCGAGCAACACATCGGTGTTCATACAGTTCCAGGCGCATGGTCGAAACGACCTGATGACAAGTCCAACAAATTTGAAACGTACCTGTTCCAGGGCCCCAGGGGTGCCGAATTTTCTTTGGCCCTTCAAGGTTCATGGGTATCTATTAACCATCCCTTAGGGGGTCGTGGTTTTGGATGTGTAGCTTGGATATGCCGAAATGTCGTTTCTGCCCCTTGTTCAGGTCAAGGGACCTGTCAAGGACGAAAGGACGCTGTCGGACGCCCCACGTCAGAAGACCTCAAGATGGTCAGGCTGTTTGAGGCCTTTGACCAAGGCGGGGTCGGTCTTTCTGGGACGCCCAGTTAAGCCAGTCCGATGGAGTGCTTGGGGAGATAGATGTTCGGGCCCTTGTGTGCGCATGCGATGCCTCGGCCTTGAAACCAATTCTGGATCATCCAACATGTGTTGCTTTAGGGTGACCGAAGCAGGCAGATCTGGAGGTGTCCGCAGCAACACCATGTTTGGAGCCCATACTTCCAACATCTTCTGAATGGGCAGTTGTTTGGCTCCCCAGATTTTGACAAAGACTGAGTCATATGCGAGAAATCGGGTCAAGTGTCCGTGTGTTTCTCGGCCTTGACGGCCTGGACTTTTGGTCTCCCCGTTGTTTGGGAGCTTTTGACGTTCAGTCTGACACGTTTCTCACCCCTGCCCTGCCACTGAAGTTGCTGAAGTTGTCCTCAGGTTCCTCTCGGACTCAATGTTCCAGCTCTAAATCAGTGGATGGAGTGCATGATGGCTTCACATGCACGCAAGCTCTCTGAGGACTTCTACCTCGCCCCTTGGCTCGCTTGGGAGGTCTCGGTCCACGCGTTCTTCCTATCTAATGCCAGTGATGACGATGCATGACGCCACCTTTTAGGAAGGAAAGCCTGGCAAGTACTCGTCTCCAAGCGTTTTTTTGTTTGAATTCGACGAGAATTGGGAGGATAGTTCCTCTTTGGACAGCAGATGACGGGAGGCAAGTATTATATACAGTCTTAGTAGATGGCACAGACCTCAAGATGTCCTTTACATGGGGGTTCATGTAAACCACCTCTTGGGGTCTGTGCCATCTACTCTCAATCCACCATATTGGATTCTACGTTTTGGGGGGGAAGATAACAACTATATTGATTGTATACCGTTGGATCCTGGGCGCATCTGGGCGCTGAAGACATGATGACACCATCACTAAGAACCACGAAACACACCCGAAACGACCTTGTTGTTTTTCTGCCCTGCCCTGACTGTCAGGTACTAGCACTAAAGAAGTGTGCCAGTGGGAGTCCTCTTCTTCTGCAACATCTCGAAGCCACCGTGAGGAACTTCAATGATTGGACGCGACTCTCTTATGAGGAGTCCCTCAGCTGACTCCGCATGGGGCTGCATGTGTCGTATTGACGACTGTAACTGGCTGCATGCTTTGGGCACCTAGACCCTAGGGCTCCAAGTACCTCCTCAGAAGGTATTTGGAGCCCTAGGGAGAAAAAACACTGGCCGCCGATGATCACCTGGGAACCCGGTCCGAAGCAGAAAAGCTGGTTGTTCCAATATATCACTTGACATTCTTTGCACCAAGAAGTGGCTGGGATTGGGGAAAGATCCATGCGGCCCACAAGGGGTAGTTGGACACCCTGAGTCACCTCTAAAATCCAAGGCTAGACACCCCAACCCTGTTTGGCCCTGGTTTCTTTTGGGAGTTAGGACCCCAGGTCGCGCCATGCTTAGCTGGATCAATTAGCTTCCTGCGTCCTGTTTAGGGGTGTAAGTCTTCAACAAAGCAGGGTTTCAAACAGTGAAAGCTGGAAATATATGGATCACTGTCACTTGCAGATCCTCACCCAAATCATGCAAAACTTGGGTGCATATTTTAATAGGGAGACCACCCTTTGTTTTTGTTGCTTTTTGGGGGGGGGGATGGGCAGTGAAGAGAAAAAAAGGAAAACACCCGTGCTTTTCATGAGGGTCATATCTACCAGCACCTTCCAACAAGTCACCACCTGCCACTTGGCAAAAGCCACCATTTCGGAGACCTGTTGGAAGGTGCTGGTTTTGGTACATTCAGCGCGCACGCCGACCACATCTTCCGTTGTTTTCACGCCGAGCGGGAGCGGCACTGTAAAGGTTTGAGCTCACGAAATATCTCCAGCCACTGGGCGCTTAGCGCGAGCGCTTTTCGCGCGGCAAAGCGGATGGTGGTGCGTAGTGCTGTTAACATGTGGGCTCCTAACTCTATTGGGAAAGGGCGGGGTGATCCCACACCTACCCAGTGATTGAACCCCTTTTGAAAAGGTTGGTTTCCCTACTAATTCCACATATTCTCCGGTGGAAAGTTTGTTCTTTGTTCAGTGAACGATCGAATTCTTTGCGCTCGCACTATTTAGCACTGCTCTCCCATGACACATGCACAGTCTGACGGACCTAGTTACTGCTTGCTTCTCCCTAGCCTTTCATGACGAGTTTGAAAATGGTTGACCCACCTAGCACTTCCAATGGGTGTCCAATGGGTGTCCAATGGAGACCTGTTTACGTAGGGTAGGGTAGTCGAACGCCAGGACACGGATGACAGGATGACCCTGCTATTTGGCTCTTAATTCCGAAGGCTCTTTAATCAATGGTCCAGGAAGCCCAGGGTAGACCAAGAAGCCCAGGGTTTGGTTGCAGGAGAATTGATGTACCATTCGATTGACCCCGTATCTCTCGCTATCTCTCGCGATGTACCTGGTTTTGCTGATCCGGTGATTTTTGTATTTTCCCTTTGTGGTCAAATCCACCTTCTGGGGACCAATTTAAGATATATGTGTTTCATATATATATGTATATATGTTTTTTTTTTCAGGTCCCTTGAGCAAATCCCAGGTTATATGTTTTTTTTGGGGGGGTCGGCTGTGGCACATGCTGTTTTTGTCCGCACATGCTTATACCCGGTCGAGGACTCAGGGTATCTACCTACGAAGATCTTTGTCCAGCTCTTGGGACCACCCAAAGAACCGGATGGCTTTATTTTTGGGGATTGGAACATATAATATACCTCTACCAGCACCCGACTTCACAGGTCACCGGGGCGACTTCTTTTGAGTCAAGACGGCGGGTGCTGGTGGTACCGGTGGGGTCTATAAACCATCAACCCTTCATAGTGCTGGGTAGGCAATGGTTCTCCTAGCTGGGTTCCAAACTTCACAGCAGCATCCAAGGCCCCCCAGTTGGCATTCCAAACCGAACAAATGGTCCGACGTGGCGGGGATGGTCCTGTCCAGGTGGTAGCATCAACCTGTTACAGTACCAGCAGTCACGTTCGACGGGGTGCGAGCTTAATGGAGGTTGGGGGTGCCCCTGTCACATCCACTCACGTAAGGGGATCAAACACCACCCCGACATGTGACTCCTGGTAGAATTACTTTCTTTGGTGTGGTGTGTCTTGTAAGCAGTTTGTTTGGCGTCGTTTCGTTGGAGGAGTGGTGGGCCAGAAGTTTCCTTTGTTCAAACAGCATAAACGGTCGTGCTGATTATATTGGAGGCAGGTCTTGAAGTACTCCTTGATGGTAGGTGGTGTGTTTTATAGACGTGTTTGATCGTTTGTTTGTTTTTAATGGGAGGAGGTGAGGTGAGGACAAATGCTTTAGAGTATTGTAAAATCACATGATCCAAGGCTCACAGGGTGGGGGAAAGGGGCCGGTTTCGTCGTCCTCTTGGACGCGGTGGAACGTTTCGGAGTTTGAGTGTGTGTGTGTGTCCAATTGTTCTTTAGCTATAATAGCTATAATATAGAGGCCTGGAACATGGAATGACAGAGTGCTCTTGATAGAATGAGAAGACGTCCAACACGTTTTCTCACTTTTGTATGGCTTCTACTACGTAGTGTATGTCCACTGGTCACCGCGCGCTTTCCAAGTTCCACTTTCACGAAAGCTTCTCAGAGTCTAATAAGTTCCTTCACGCCAGCCAGCTTGCTGCGGCCTGATTCCTTCTTCGGCGCCTAGACCTCGATGACCTACCTCTGCCTAGACTTCACCTCCACGTGGTACGTTGGGCTGGTGTTTTGAGGTCCTTAATGGACGTGATCAATGTCAACTTGCGGGCGTCCTGCGAATTAGATGGCCGGACCCTGGTGCCCTACATGTGCGCCGTGCCCCGAAAGGGGTGGAGCCTTGGATGAAGACTCATCAACTGGACGAGTCCTAGGTCGACACGGAGTCCTGCAGAAATCGGGTCGCAGTAGTCCACCAACAGAGGTTAAGTGTAGTAAATAGGACCCATAATCTGGGGTACCGAACTACTCGTAGGATAGTCGGATAGTCGAACTAGGGTTCTTCAACCTCTGTTGGCACCCTTTTCATGGTGTTCTGAGTCACCTCACTGGACATGACTAGACCCCGATGGACGTCCGAGAATGGATGATCCCTTTGCGGCCGCCGGAGTCGCCAGCGCAGTGGGCTCATGAGCCGTGTTGCCAAGCACACCCCGCAGGAACTGGGACAGTTGCTGAACAGGTGTTTTACAGTAAAATCCAGTCTGGAGTTTCAAGATAGATGACAAGATGTTGGATTCATAGATAGATACGGGAAATTGTTAGATCCCACCCCAAAATGACTAGCTGAGTCTTGTCATGTCATACACCACTTCGACCATCCGCCGGATGTTTGTTCCCGGAAGCCCCGGGTTCTCCGACCTGGGTTTTTTCAGCACCGGACCGACTTCGACGGTCCCCAAAAGGACCGGTTCACGGTGACGGGTCCTATGAGGTCACGTACCCTAAGGCTCCAGTCGTACCTCCTCAGAAGATGTTTGGACCCGACCCAGGCACCCACCCTGAACACCTTCGAAACGAAGGTGTGACAGCCCTAGGGGCAATAACCTCATTGATTTGCAGGGAACCGGCCGGGTTCAGCCGCTCTGAGGTAGAGTTAGACCTGAATAAGACCTGATAGGACGGTCAATTTCAACCGATCAGGCCAGGGGTGGCGCCGATTTTTCACGGAACATCTTCCAGTCCCATGATCCATGGATCCTCTTCCAGTCATTGGATCCGGGGATGGGGATGGTCGTGATGCCGATCTCATTGCGACTCAAGGAATGAGAATTTTGCCTACATCCAAGGATGGCCTGGGCCCAAGTTCGAGGAATCTGCTTAGATCCTATATATGAAGCAAGGGTGAGGAAGGAGATGCCCCCCACTGACAATCCTCAAAACCCTTGGCTCAAATTTCAGTCTGACCGTTTTGTGCCCAAGCATGCCCAAGCCCTATTTGGGTGTGCATTTTAATAGGCAGACACCCGACCAATTGTTGTTGGTATGGTCTAATTATATAGAGTCTAATTCCCTTCGAACCCATGGGGTTCGTTGCCCGCAGCATGAGACTGCGAAGGATGAGAAGCCCAAACGGAGCTGAGGTTGAAAAAAGAGAATGAATTCCGCCTCGTTGGTGACAATCGACGCTTTGCCCATCCAGCCCTATAGACCCTATCCTTTGTCTTTGTTTCGAGCCAACGGAGCTGAGGTTGAAAATGGCAGGCTTGGCGTATAAGATTCACATGGGATGCTCGATCCTCTTTCAGACCGTCCGGCGGGCGTTTTCCGGGGGGGTTCTAAGCGGGCAAAAGTGAAGAAGCGTGTTTAGAGATGGTGAAATGACATCAAACATCTGGGTATATCTGGGTGGTTGTTTCAGATTGTGTTCGATCTTTACTACCTCATTGTTTCACCCACTGACTCATTTGACTCATGTTTTTTCGTTCGTGCAGAGCGGTGGGAGATCCGTTCCACACCGAAAAACCAAATGGTCCGCTTCCATGATTCATCCCTAGGGCTCCAACCACCTCCGTTTCGAAGATGGTTGGGGTGGGTTTGGGGGGTCTAACCACCTTCTGAGGATATGGTTGGAGCTAGGGATTATTGGAGGGACGTGTTTTTCGTGCTGAAGTGGTGCTTGAATTCAAGTATGAGACTGCGGATTTGAAGATGATGGGCAGTCCACTCGTGAAGACTGCCCTCCCAGTGGAACCTATTACTGTAAACCTATTATGGCTGATTCAGGGCTTGTGTTTGGGGAGCAGCTTGAAGTTTAGTATGATTGTTCTTGTATGTTCGCCCCCATGATAGCCAGCAGATATGGAATTGCTGCAATAGATGCACTAAATTGCTATAGATCCGCCTGTTGATGCTGCTTGAACCTGTATCTTGAACCTGGGCTTACTCGACATGTCGAGTCTTTGGAGTCTTTGCAGATGCCCTAGAAGTCGTGGCCCACCATTGTTTTAATAGCCTTTACCGAACCACCATTGTTTTGCTAAGGGTTTTACACTACAAAACCAACTCAACCATTTTTAAAATGGTCGACTTGACTTCCAGGGGATGGAGATGTGGATGAGGGATGGAGCAGGGGACCGGAGAACAGGAACAGCTGGTCGACCAGAGACCAGGACCCCCAGGAGTTGGGTGAATGGACACCCCGAATCACCGCTTTTTGGGGCTATAAATAGAGACCCCGACAGGAGGGTCCTGGGAGGAATTCTTTTGGCATCTGCAAATTCACTGAGAGATGAGCTGCGCAAGTCTGGAGCCAAGTCAAAGCAAAGCTAAGGGCGAGGTCAAGTCTGGCCTTCAGGACTTGGTGACAAAAACAGCTTGACAAACAGTCCGCTTCAACTGGAAGAAGATGGGAAATGGCGTGAGGCTATACCTTCCTGAAGTTGGAAGTGAATCCAGGTTCACATCTCTAAGGCGGTGCTTCTGGCTTGTCATGACCAGTGGTTTCTCGTTTGGTCTGGTTGGTTGGCTGCGATCAGTTTTTGACGTTTGGACCCGCAAGCGTGGCAGGATGCGACAGTCGCGACCGTCGCATGACAAGCCACAGCCACGACATGCCACGTCGACGGCACGTCGACGTGCAGATCCAATCTTGACAGCAAAACCAAGAGAGGTCAAGTGACCGTAAATAGGACCCGTAATCTGGGGTACCGAACTGGGATAGCCTATACTATAGAGTTCTTCAACCTCTGTTGGAAGAAAGAACTGAGAATCTGAAGATGCAACCCCACCCTCTTCAGCAAATCCCTCTTGTTCTCAAGTCGGATGACTCTGACTTTGGATGTGTTGTTATGATTTGCAGTCAAAGGAATCGGGATGGCAATCCTGCACAGCGTGGCAACTGCAGAATCGGATGATCGCTGAGAACATGAGAAGAGCATGCGCATCACCTTCAAGAAAATGGATGTCCGATCCCCATGTCTATATCGTCTATAAAATCATCAAATGGCTCCTGGCACCTCCCAGGTGACGCAAGATGTTGAACGCCAAACTCCTCGGTCTCTCCCGGGCAGACGAAGACAGCCTCCCGAAGACAGCTGCCTCCGGCATTTCGGTGAAAGGCTGCCACAGCGGAGCACGGCTTCGCTGGACAAGGAGTCAGCCGAAAGATGACAAGTCATGGATATGTGGAAAGATGGTCCGGAAAGGACCACCATGTTCCAAAGACAAAATTCTAGCATCGAAGCAGGATTTGAAACGGTCAGTGCTGGGGCTGCAGGCACAGCCTCTTCCAAGGGCAAAAAGGTCAGCGCACGTTTCATTTGCACGAATCACCAGCTATGGAATCGGGCAGGGATTTAGAAAGCGGATCCCCAGAACCAGTGACCCTGTTTGTCGGCGGGTGCTTTGCTGCACCTGTTCCGCGCCTGCCACGCGCATGCGCACCGCCCACCCCAGGCGCCTCGTGTGGTCCCAAGATCGTCGAGGCCGCCACCACGCGCTTCGTGGATCCCCGACCAGGCCGTGGGACTTATGACCAGGGGCCATGGGACCAGGGGGTCGGCCTGGCAGATACGTCTCCCAGACACCACAGAGTTCACTGGGCGCCAGTGTGATGTGCGATGTGCCCTGAGTAGACACGGCGGTGGCACACAAGGAGACACAAGCAGATAGTTTACACCATTTGATCATTCAGGCTCATTGGCTCGACTGGTCTAAATGTTGGGGAGGTGTGTGTTATATTGCAAGAAAAGGTCTTCCAAGAAGGGTTAGAAACAGACCTCATGTTCATTGGAGTTCAGGTCTCGCTCCTCAAGGAGCTCAGGTGGTCGAGCTCAGGGTCTGGGACCTGCCTCTCTCAGAAGGAACGATTGAAATTCCGAGCCCTAAAGGCCCAGCCCATGGGATGAGATCGTCGTGGCCCCGCCCAGGTCTGGGCTCCAAGAATCACCACATCGGGCTCACCGGAGCCGATCTACGGTGGATTTTGGTTCGTTTCAACACCCGTATGGTATTCGACCCCCAAAACCACCCCAATCCCACCGAACCGGAACGGAGGGCCAGGAGTCCTGGGGGATGAAGAGGTTTCTAGAATCCAAAAAGGAGGGGGTGTTCTCAATCGAACGTCTCCTTCCACTGAACATGCCGTGGCTACTGGGGTGTGTAGCTCAAATAGGGCGACCCCAAGCAACGACCCCCTTGAAATTAAGGGACAAAGACCAGCCTACCCAGCCCGAAACTGGAGGGTCAGGCGCAGAGTGCCAGACTAAAATCAATCCCCAATGGGCCAATGGGTATGTTTGTACCTTTTTGGGTTCGGATCATGTCCCATGTTCAAAGGTGCAAACTGGAGGATCCAGGCACTTCGACAGGTTGACCAAGTCGACAGATCGTCGATTGTGAACGGGTCCCCAACAGAGGTTCTTCAGAACCCGACGGGGTTCGAGTATCCCAACAAAAGGGTCCCCCAGCAAGCACCTGGGAGTCCCCCAAACAGGTCAGGTCACTGGCCCTAGGGCTCCTACCTCCGTTTCGAAGGTGGTTGGGGTATAGGTTTGGGGGATCTAACCACCTTCTGATGATATGCTTGGAGCCCTAGGGTGTATACCTACCTCTGTTGGTTCTCAGTGCCGTGACCCACAGCCGGATGATGGAGTCCCGTCACCAGGCCCGCAGCCCACACCGGCCGCGAGCCCGCAGCTGGATGCTTCGGATGATTCCGGCCGGAGGGGGACTGGTAGAGGAACATGGGCAACGAAGCCAAACATGAACGAAAGTAGTGGCCATAACGACCCGTTGGAACGAATTTTTTGGGAGAGAGGAGGGCCCAGGACCAGGAGGGCATAACGGGTCCCCCTTACTTTGGTTTCATATGGTACTTTTAAGCCAGAGCTACTCCGGGACCTCCGCGTGGTTTGGTTCAGTCGCAGAGTCCGTCGCCGGGAACCGGTTTGGGGGGGTGGCTCCTGCGTGGGGCGTGGGGCGGCGTGGGGTCCTGGATGAAGGGAACGTCTCCCAGACACGACGAGGCGTTTGGGACTGCCATGACGGACGGCCAGTCCGTGGCACGGCCAGGGGTGGTGGACCTAAGGGGGTCTGGGGCGGCAGTCCTATGGAGTTTCCAGTGGCTTGATCAAGCACCCTGCCACCCTGCCACTCCCCAATAACATCACCCCTTTTCATCATGCCAGTACAGTAGATGTGCCCCTCCCAATACACTCACTCTTTTTGAAAATTACAGTTGTTTAAGATGTTCAAATAGTCTATATTTACTGTAGTGTTCGAGTGGGTGAGTCCAACATTGTGGGAGCCCCGGTCATGCAAAACAAAGTTGAAACTCTCCTCTCAAAAGGACATCGACCCAACAGTATCCCCCTGCTAATGCCACAAGAACCTTGACGAGGGTAGGTGTTGATTTGCTTGGTCGTTGTTTCAGAAGCCTTTCTTCACAAGGTGTAATATTTATCCCGTCACCATCAGTACACCGTACAACTGTTTGCACTTCTTGGCAGTCTCCATGGCAAACCATGCAATCGCAACCTCATCTTCAATGCGGACAGCCAGTCTCACGAAGCAGACAGCAGAAGACCAACAAGCTGCGGGCTGTCAGCAAGACCACCTCATTGCTGGGCTGTTTCGCGCAGGAGAACAGTGATGTCTCCCTCTCCGCTATATGAGCTCGCTTATTTGCGACCATCAAGACCTGGAGACATCAAGTTTGGCGCAGCTGTGATGACGCTGACGAACGCCAGCACATGCGGCGATCGCGACCACACGTTCCGGCGATCGCGACCAGTTCCGCTTGTGGCTCGCTTCCGGCGATCGCCTCGGCACCTGGTTTTGGTGCTGCAGCGTGCTACAGAGTTCGACCAACAAAGGTTAACTGCCAGGATTCACATGGAGGGCCTGGGTGGTGTGGCTCGTCCCATCCAGGGGCGGTTTTTATGTGACAAGAGCACCCCTAACCTAACCTCCATGGATCGCACCCCGGCCCCTTGCCTTTGTGACTGCTGGTGGATACCTATTGGAGATGGAGATCCACAGCGCGTAGCTCGCTCCACACGCCTTGCGCGGTAGCTCTTCGCACTGTCTCTCGTGACATGTCGTGCGGCGACGGATCGAGTGGAGGCGATCGAGGTTTGGCGGAGACGGATTCACCGGAGACAGATCTCGGTGTAATGGGGTGCCCAGCGCATCCCAGTTACCACTACATTACCCTAGGGCTCCAACCACCTCCGTTTCGAAGATGGTTGGGGTGGGTTTGGGGGGGTCTAACCACCTTCTGAGGATATGGTTGGAGCCCTAGGGTTACATAAGGAACCAGGGATTCGTTCGGTCTTTGGAACCGGTTGCCAGCGCTGTCCCAGTAGACGCGTTGACAGATCGAACATGTCCGCGCACGGCTGGACCCCAACTTTGCTGAGTGGAGTGGACATCACTAGAGTTCGCTAGTGACTGGATCGGATGATTTGGGTCGAGTCTTTTCCATGTCTTTTTCCCGATGATTTGGGTGAATCGCCCTCTTTTCGGATGAGGGTGGTGGAGGAGGCGGACCGTCCAGCGAAGGGCGGAAGACCCGGTTTGGGTTTGGGTGGCCGTTCACGCGACTCAATGGGACTGCCACAGGACTGCCGAGAAACGGCCAGGGGTGGGTTGGGGGGATCAATGTAGGCATATATTCCAGTCCCATGGAGTATTTGGGGTGACCAAACTGATCACAGGGCGTCAAGTAAGATGCAGTATACGCCCCCCCAAACCATGCAGTGCCTCGGGCCGGTCTACTCCACCCACGAGCCGCGAGTGGTTCCCGAACGGCGGAGGCAGTGCCTCTGGCTTGCTGAGTGGGCAGAGCAAGATGGTGTTCCATCTTTGATCGAGAGAAGAGAACGAGAGAGAATCTCGATCGATCTCGATCAGGCATTTTTGGCATGTTGCTGATTCCTGGAACCCCGTACTGTTTGGTATAAGGAGCTGATCAGGAGCTTGGAGGCCCCTGACCCCTAATCAACTGGGAAAAGATTGGAAACTCATTTAAGTCAACGCGGCACGACACGTAGTCTACGCAGCGTGTCGGCACGTCCTGAGACCGGGGTGTTCCAGGCGTCATTTTACACATTCCTCAGGACTCCCAGAACGTCGATGGAATGGTCCTTGACGAAACCAAACCCAAGCAGTGGGAAGCTGGCCAGTGATTTCCTGGACACCTGATTGGGTTTCGGCGAGCCGAAGAGCCGAAGAAACTGCGTGTTTCTGGCTTCGGTTCACGCGGAGGAGAACCACAAGTGCCCTCCCCTAAATGAAAAAACACCGAACACCCTGAGAGAAAACCCAGGCATTCGGAGTTGCTACTTGGGGGAGGGTATCATCATAGGCCGGTCAAGCTTGGCCACTCCGGACCGACCCCGGTCAAGTCTCACGCGTTTGGCCGGGGCGGAGGCCAAAAACCCAAAGGTTTGTGGCTTCCACCGCGAAATTCTGCCAACGATGGCGGTTGAATGGACTGAAAAAGGTACGAGACCCCAAAACAACCATAACAACCCACGCTTGCGCGGGACCTTCCGCTTGCGTGTGACCAGTGGACCATGGTGGTTGAAATACATGGGAAATACCATCGGCCGACGTCTAGATTCAGTCAACTCATATTCCAGGACCTTCAAAGTGACCTTTTGATATCCCAGGATGAGGTCACTTAGGCCAGTAAAAGGTCACTTAGAGACTCCAAAGAGGTCACTTTGAAGGTCCCTAGTTCCACTGGCGACGTGGTGTGTTGCTTTCTTTGTTCAGTCCATTTCCGGGGCGACGAATCAACTCGTTCTTTTTCGGTCCTTCGGCGAGATGAAGGCCGTGTTTTTTTGCTCCATCGTTCACCCGGCTGCTCTGAGGTTTGTCCCGAAACTGGGTGTTCGCATCGAAGACCAAGAAAGATAAGATCTATATTTTCGACTTCAAGTCTCTTCAAAGCCCAAGGGTCGCGAACGGATCCATCCAATCAATCCCATCCCCTACCTTACACATAGGGCGAAAGCGTGTAATTCTCAAGATGTTGGGCCTGATGATTGCAAGAACATGACCAAATGGTGCACGGTAAAGATCAAAGATTTATTCCGAGGCATGGCCAGCTGACACTGGTGAAACCCTGTTGACACTTTCAGCCAACAATGAGTCATGCTGGCCCTACCTGTCCGTGCCCACAAAAAGAAAACACGAGTATCACAGCATAGATGGACCACAGAGTATATATTATAGAAATTCATAATCATACGTGCATTACTGTAGCAGAAACCAGCTTGTTTGCTTTTAGTGATATAGTTCTTGAAAGAAAGGGTAGTTGCTTCAGCTTGTTTCACTGGCAGCATCAAACCTGAGAAGTCCAGCCATGGCAGGGCTGAGATGCTTGATACGTTGGTGCCGGACTTTCTAGCCTGAACAATGACCATGCACACAATATATGAACCCACCAAAATACACACTGACACAAAGTTTGGGATGTTTGTTTGTTGCAACATGGTATGTCATTTGCGGATTGCTTGGAACATTTTGGAACGTTGATCGTCTTTGCCCTGCACGCCTCGAGTAGTTGCTTCCCGATTTACACAAGCCGTTTGGGTTTGTTCCATGGTCCAGAGCACAGATCGTATAAGACTGAATGTTGGTTGCTTGAATGTCCAACGTTGCAGTTCAGGAATGAATGACAATATGAACACGCAGGAATCACCTAGTGGTCCATTATATAAATTGAACGTGACGCTATTTTGTTCGAAACGCTCTGACTGACGACGATGGAAGTAGAACATGGCCCCCTTGGATTTGACGACTTCCTCTAGAAAGGGGTTGTGAACTTCACTTCCATCACGTGTGGCTCAGTCGGAGTGTACCACACAGCGCTGGCAGAAAACACTCCGACCCAAAACGTGTGGCTCTGAACGGACGTCAGAGCTGTTTCTTGAACAAGTGTGGGTTTTGGTGAGAAGTGTTTCTCCTTTTTTCCCAGCACTTCCTGGTGAATCAGGCGTGATTTCACATGTTCCTGGTGAATCCCCTGCCAACGAGCTTTCACAATCATCCTGAACACTCCAGCACCTTCCTTATGGGGTCACCTGGCTCTTCCAGCCTGGAAGCACGACTTCCTGGATCTCCAGGTCCAGGACACCCCGACAGGTGACCGGCTCCAGACTTGTTTGCGTAAAGAGGTCACATAAGTGTTGACCAAGTTCAGGCCACTATATCAGCTTTGACCAAGTTCAGAAGAGCAGAAGATAGCAGAGACGAATTCCGCGTGACTTGTCGCACCCTTGCTCGGTGCTTTTTGCACCTTTGCTCCGTGCCTTTCTGGTCCATCCCACATGACGGAGCAGCCCGTGCAATTCGCCGCGTGTGTAACGCTGGCCTCGTCGAGCATGCTTGCTGGAAGGGCCCTCCGGCGCAGCAAAGCGTGAAGGATTCAGCCTTGGAGATTGGTTTGAAGACTTCTTAGGGTATGGGCCCCAGGGCTCCTGGCCCACCTCCGTTTCGAAAGTGGTTGGGGTGGGTGCGAGGGGGGTCGAAGACCACCGAACCTGAGGAGATGGGACAGGAGCCCTAAGGAGGCTTGGAGGACATGCTTTCCCTTTTGGGGGATCCTTTGAAGTTTTGGAGGTGTTTTGAGGTGGAGTTGTGTCAGTTTTGTCCGCCACGGGGCATGTCCCTTGGGCGGTTTGCTTCAGTTCTGCTAGCTAGCAAAATCATTGGGGCAATTTGCTTGAGAAATTCCAGCCGTTGAGAAAAATGTAGAATGCAACGGAGAGACAAAACATGATAAGACATGTACTGTACCACAAAAACTTGCTGGAAATCCACCTGTCGTCGATATAATATAAATATATATATATATATACATACCTAGAATCAGCCTAAATAAAGTTAGGCGGAAGTGATCGATTAATGAAGATCCACGATCCACGTTGTAATGGTATTTATATATTATATATATGATATATGCATGGTTTGGTTTGTAACCGTTGCTACTTGCATCCTCCGCCTGGCTGGTCAAAATACTTGACCTATCATGACATCAATGTCACCTGGCTGTGCAAATGGTTTCGCGGATCCACGGCCATGATACATTAATCATCCATTAAAACACCAGGATGTCCTCCTCATTCATCAAAAGCGATCCTCCAATGGCAAGCCTTGGTGCAGGGTTCTCCTTTGGGAGATGCTATTTGCCGTGTTTTGCTGTATGTTGGGGTGGTTGACCTAGTGTCATGTAGGCACATCATTTGTCCATGGAGTGTTTGGGAATTATATTTTGAAATTTGGTCTCGCGCCAACATCACCCTCTCCCAAAAACATGGGGGAGGATGAAGTGTTCAGTGCCTTTCCAGCCGGTCACTGCGGCGAAATCGGAGTGATTCCGCAGGAAGATGAGAGGAGGGTGACGCCAGCACACGCTGGTGCCACACACCCGCAGCATCACCCACACGCGGGGGGGGAATGAAGAATCGTGAAACCAAGAGATCCGAGGAGCACTTGGCCTCAAGTGACTAGAGTCCAGGTAGGGAAGATGGGTCGCCCTGGCCAAGTGCCGCGAACGACCTTCCAGGATCTTCCAGGTAGGTATCCTGGTGCCATGACTCACAGCCACATACAAGGAACACTGGGTCAGTTTCCTGAGGAAGAGCTGCACTGGTGCCGCAGAAGAGGAAGCATTGTAATAATTAAGTAATAAGTGTTCCCAGCGAGCCTTTATGGCCACAAAAAGCCACGCTCCTTCTCCTGGGGCCCTAAGCAACTCTTCTTGAAACTGACCCTGGGTCATTTTTTCCTGCGGTGGACGAAATCAAAGGCAACCCAGATCTTTGGTTCTTGGCAGTTCTGGGGTGGTGCAAGAATATTCCTCGGATGTTTTGCATTCGATCGTAGCAGGCAGATGTTCCTTCGTCGCTGGAGGAAGACGCAGGAGGTGGACACGTGGCACCACTTGGCGATTTGGGGAGGAAGGTCGGCGGCGTGACTTGGTCCGTCACTGTTCAACATGCTTGACGATTTGGAAGAGATTTCTTCAGCCTGCCATGCGGCCCAAGCCATGCACCAGTTGGGGGGACAAGGACGCAGACTTCCTGGAGGGGAGGGTCCTACAAGTGTTGCTTTGAGTACTTGAGCCATCAAGGTGTAAGCCGCTTCCTCCCTCAAAAGATGCTGGCGTCAGATGATTATCCTACTCATCAGGTGAACTTTGTGACTACCAAACATCAACTTTGATGGCCACGCATGCAGTTGACTTTCTCAATGCTCCTTGAGTTCAGCCTAGTACCAGCCAACTAGCGACCTGCAAGACCATGGCAATGGCAGTTCAGTTCCCACTGAATTGGAAGGCGGCCACTAAACACTGATGTTTTGCCATGCGCATGCCCTTTAAAGGAAACTGACCATTAGAGTGTGGGACGTATCATCGCCCCACCTGACTCCCCTTTGACTTTTGCCTCGTGGATGAGTGCCTCGTGTTTCACTGTTCTGCGCGTGACAGTTCTGCACGGGCGGGAGGAGTGGCAGGGGCGTTTGCGGACACCTTTCCAAAGACAGAGACACACGCTCCCAAGTGATGCCTCCATGCAGGTGACCAACATGAAGGACGCGAGAATAGCTATCCAAGTGTTTGTAGGCCAAGTTGATCTGGGAAATTGGAGGCATGAAACATCATGAAAGTAGTGCGCAAGAAGGTAACTTGTCTCAAGCCTTGCTTGGGACGTACCTGGTGTTTTCTGGAGGGTTACGGTCTTTCTGGAGCATCCTAAAGCATCCTTTTGCTTAGACTTCCCCATACTAAACTCAGTTGTTTCAGACTCGTTCAGCTGCTCCTGTTGTCTAGTCCTTTGCTGGAGATGCAGAGGTGCATGTCAAAACTTTTTGACACCGTCCAACAACCTCAATAGTTTTTAACGTTTCTTAGTTACGTTTATCCTTTCTATGATTTGTTTGTTCTGACGGACTTGTATAGATGTTTGTATTATTCTACTGTAATCGGAGAAACGTTGATACAAAGGATATACAATGGAAAGAGCTCAAAGACAAAGGAGTTGATCGTCCACTATCATTGCAACATACATCAGGTTGTCACATTCTTACTTTGTCCACATCATCTCCAGTGAATCTAGTCACCGCCATTGGTGGCATTGAATGGTTCCAAACACTGTTCCACCGATCAAAACGCTCCAGTTCATTATACATAATTAGACATGAACCACTGAACCACGCTCCAGTTCAAACCATAGATCCAAACAACTCCAGTTCATCAATCCCTAGGGCTCCAGTCGTACCTCCTCAGAAGGTATGACTGGACCCGACCCAGGCACCCACCCCAGTCCCACCTTCTGAGGTTTGGTACGACTGGAGCCCAAACGGGAATAGAAACAGTGGCTCACAGAGATCCACGATCAGGACCCAGGGACCCACAGGGACCCAAAGACGAACCGTCCACCTGCCATCTCCGCGGACCCCACGCCGCGACCCCACGAGCGACGCTGGCGTCGCTCATGTCAAATCAGCCCGGGGGTTGAACGATGCAGCCCGAGAGGTCTTTGAGGCGAAGTCAACGTGAAGAAGCAAGAGAGGTATCCAGTGACCTGAACTAGGGCCGTAACCTGGGGTACCGAACTGGGATAGTCGAACTAGGGTTCTTCAACCTCTGGAAGCTGGAGAAAACCAGTTGAGAAGCTACCGGACATCAGGTGTGGGACATAGGCCTGCGGACATCAGATCCGAAATGATCCTCACCCTCGAAGCTCTGAAGAGCATTCGGAAGCGACGTTCAACTAGATGGGTGCTCCAAAAAGAGGAGCCTAGTTAGGTCTAGCTAGGCCCGCCAATCACCACCTTCACATGTTTCGGGGATTCCCAGACACTCCATGTATGCCACATATGCCTACATTGACCCCCTAAACCACCCCAATGAAGGCATATAATATATATATATGGCAATATGGAGTGTTTGGAATTAGTTTTGTCAAACATTGAACGTGTTCATGAGATGAGCATCCTCTCTGGGTCTGGTTCCGAATGGTTAGCCCTGGAAGTGCTGGTCCCAGGGCTAGCCCTAGTGCTGTGTTCACCTGTGTCTTCGGTGTCCCCATGGGTGTGGGAGTGGGACCAAAGACTGGAAGATGATGTTCATCAACTCAGAACTCGTGGTTGAGGGGATTCGGATGGGTCCTGTCGTGGCCTCTCGCTTCGCAGCATGTGAAACCCCAAGGGTCCGAACGTCGCGTCGAGCGTAGCTTGGGGTCCAGCGGATCCAGCTGGGGAGACAGCAGATGAGCTGAGCTGGTTTGCGTCAGTCCGGGTGGTCCAGGAGCACAATGGTGGGGCTGGGAGGTTATGAAGATGCATAACAAGGACTGGTTCACAACGATTTCCATATGCCAGGACCTTCAGTTCTTGACCTTTTTGGAACCTCTAAGTGACCTCTTTAGGGACTAAGATGGACTAAGTGACCTCATTCTAGGATCTCAAAAGGTCACTTTGAAGGTCCTGGTGATTTCTAGCAATGTATTTGAGATGTTTGTAAGAATGACGGGGTCCAGAAATCACCTGTTTCTGGACTCATGTCATTGCTATACAGTAGATAGAAATGATTTCACTCCGTGTTCCATCTTCGCCCCTCCGGCCGGCCGGTCGACAGCAACTTCCGAACAGGGGGGCGGACTGTACACCCCAGACGACCAACGAAACACCCAACAGGTGGTGTGTTCACCACGTTCACCTTGGTGTGTTCACCACAGAACACACCCAGTTGAGATCAATGGACGAAGGAAGGGATGGACGGACACATCGTGTCGTGTTCACCTTGGCACGAAGCGTACCCAGCTGAGGTACATGAACTCATTGGAACGTATGTTAGAAGTATACATAAGTAGAAATAAGTAACTAAGTAGCTAAAACATAGTTAGAAAGAAGTCAACAAAAGCATCATCTATAATAGCTAAAAATACGTAAACGTTGGTAAATTAAGTAACACATGTGTCAAAATAAGTAGACATGATGTGGAAATAAGAAACACATATTATGTTGAATTGTAATTGTATATGCGTTGACAACTGACAACCATGTAGAAATTGGTGCCAACTACTGAAACGATGATTCGCCCTGTAGCTTGGAGAATGGAGCGAGACATATGTTGCTGCTTGACTAGAATTTAGTGATGCAATCAGTAGAACATAAGTCTAAAAACCAATGGACATTAAGGAGAGTAGGACATATAGTAGACATAACGTTTGTTTCCGTTTTTGCACCACAGCGGCCAACAGGATGCTCACGTATATCACATGCGCAGCTGAAGCATGCAGAACGCTTGAGGAAGCATGGAGTACTGTCACCTATTCACTTGGGTCCATACCACCTCATCAGGAAGATCCTGAAGATCTCTGTCACAAAAGAAGCACGAGCAACACATTCTTGAAACATCACCCTTGTTTCGTGCTTCCATCCTTCGTGCTTCCCTCCAAAGAATCATGGTTACGTGGAGTTCACCACCGGTTTGTTTGTTGGAAAACAGTCTTGCAAGAGGCCATGTTCCACTTCCATGATTGTTTCAGGGAGTGTAAATACGAAACAAACAAATTGGGCAAATGATCATTGATGGACTTTTTGAGTGTAGATGGCAATCGAAATGTATCGTGGGTTTCGTAAGGAAAGTAAGGCCTTTTTTACGTTCTGATACATTCCAATACACACTAACCAAGGCCTAGATGCAATGGGCGCCACTTGATAACAAAACTGCTAAGTTTTCTTGAACATCCCTGAGTCTGCAAAGAAATGATCACAACAGAGCGTCCCTGAGGCCGCTTTTACTGTGAGGAAACGCAGTCCATCCCATTTGTGACAATGCTTTTGCAGGTCCATGCCCAATCTCTGCCACGACTAGATCTTAAGACGACAGCTGTGAAATAGGTTGTTTATTTTTCAAATGCTCGACACAACTGACACAAACTGGAGAGATTCCTCCAATTTAGCGCAACCAACACGCAGCCAACACTTCACGTTGTTTTCAACCAAAACTACAAAGGAAAAACCAACCACCGAATATCAACACGAAACCGATCAAAATGCCAAGTCATCAGCGACGCAGAGCTCTTTAAACGCAAACAGCCGGACACACTCATCGGGTTCTTACCATGTCGTCCTCATGTTCTTCTTCATCCGTGTCGGGGACGGTTTTGTTGGTCCGACCTATCATTATTTTACTATTAACATGACTAACATGTGTTTGTTTCTTATATATCACTACCAGCACCACCCAGTTCGGGTGGTTTATAGACCCCCCTGAAGATGTATTTTCCATCTAATAACAACCCTTTGGGTGGTGCTGGTATCTTCAACTTGTATAATTTGTGTTTGGTACCATTCAAAATGATATGTTTGGACGCCTGCGAAAAAAAACGTTTGTATGAAAAGTTTGCTTTGTGAAGCGCCCCCCCAGCTAGACATATGTGACAAAAGCTGACATAAGCTAGAATCAAGTATAACATACATAGAATAAGTGACCTCAACATAAGTACTATAAGTTCACAAGTTACTAATTGTTCCATAAGTAGAGCGCTGGTACTTGTCGAAGTTATAAGTTAAGGTTTACCTTTACAATAATTTATATAATGCAAGTCCAAGTGACTTGTCACAGCTCAGCTAGCCAGTACCAAGTAGTGACAACAGTCCGTGCCGTGGTCATGCTGAAATACCACAGAGTTCTCCTTTACCGCGAGTGAAGCGCTCGATGGACAGTATTGATGGTTCTGCAAGTGAGTCAAGAAGCCAAGAAGCCAACTGATCACTTCATGTCACTTCCCAAGATGAATCATCCAAAAGATATTGAAGCACCAGATCTCACAAACCTGGACATGGTGTCCGTGCAGGTGTAGATCTCCGTTTTCACGGGCCCACCCAGTCAGTGGATATGTGTTGGGTGAACCTTCCCACACAGTCCATGGGACTGGCATACTTACCTTTGCATTGACCCCCAGGTCAACCACCCCTATGACTATGCCGGTCCCAGTTGTGGTGCTTAGGCGTAGCCAGGGGCAGAGTCAGACCGCCCTTCGGACCGACGCACCGCCCACATCCCCGGCTCCGCACCATCTCCGCCGTCATCGCTCGGACCAAAGACCCGCGGCGCGGGGGGGGGGGGGGGGGGGCACGGCGAACGGACAGACGAGGACGAAGGGCATCGACCTGGTCGACGTCGATCGACCGACACGAGCTGTGACTGGGACGGACTGCCACACACGGCACGGCCGAGAAAGGGGGTGGGACTGGGGACTGGGGTCTGGGACTGGGGCAGTCCGCAGTCCCGAGTGGGGAGTCTTGAATGTCTAGTTCGGATGTGTGGCCCATGACTAACTATTCAACAGTCAATAGAACGTGAGCTATTTCTGAGAAAGGCGTGCAACTAAGCATCATCCACTGTTAGAGGATACACCCAAAAAAGCTACCGCACATGAAGAGGTTGTTCAATCCCAAAATGGGGTGGTTGATTCATCAACAGTTTGCATCAAGCATCATCAATCCACGTGTTTGACAATGTCATCATTGGGATTATCCTTCTACCTTGATTCAGAGATCATCAAGTTTCCAAGCCGCCACGCGCAACGGCGCTTTTCTGATCAAGTCTGTTTCCAAACTGATCAAAGGATATGGGCTCCTGGCGTCGCTTTCCGCTCCTTTCGCCTTTGGCGGCCAAATTCCCAAAAAATATGGATGAATTCCCAACCACCAAGATACACCCCCGAAAACTAACATAGACCCTGACAATGGCTCCCTGGAAGAGTGTTTTCCTCTACCAACCAGTTGTTTTCAGGGTCCATGTTAGTCTTCCAGGGGTGTATGGTGAATTCCCGACCACCAAGATAAACCTGGGGAGTGAGTGTGGGACAAACACTCTCTAGCCACGGGCTGAATTCACGCGTACTTTCAAGAGTTGGTGCTTTTGGGGCGCGAGAAGTATTGAGAAGTTATCCTGCATGAGTTAGAAGGGGAGTCTATTGCAGGGTAGGGGTGTCGATCTGCTCACGTAGGGACTAAAATCCATTGCTTTGGAACTGCTGGATGTTATGAGTGATGTTATGGTATGTGTGCACAGGTGGGGTTGTATTGGTCATCCCGCCCCCCCTGCCAAGAATACGAGTCCTCCAAGAACCTTCAATCATCGCTTCCAAGCCTCGTACCTGTCCGAAAAACATTGTCGGGAAAAGGACAGGTTGAGGAACAACACAAAGGGAATACGAGAGATGGGCCACACCAGTTTTACTATACCCTATAGGGCTCCAACCATATCCTCAGGTTCGGTGGTCTTCGACCCCCCTGACACCCACCCCTGTCGCATCTTCGAAACGGAGGTGGGCCAGGAGTGCTAAGGATAGACAACCCTACTATAAATTGGACGGTAGCAATCGGCATTTTTGTTGCTTATTTAGATGCCATGGGTCATGGGTTCAACTCTTTTCTTTCAGACCGGTTGGGCCATGTTAGGACGGTGTGTTTGACCCATTATTCCCATTCCCCATTTGCCTACCAATGCCTCCAGCAAAACCTGGATCCAATTCGTTAGCCAACGAAAGACCAACGATCTCAGTCTTGGGACGTTGTCCCACGTCCCACGTCAACGCCTTCGACGACCAAAGAACACCCGTTCGCTTCGCGACGACGGAGAACGTGACCGGCTTCAGGCTGAGTGTGCCTTGGGGCGGCCCATCGCCTTGGGCGCGGCCTTCCGAGCGAGCTCGCAGGTGCGGCCGACCACGGGCCGACCGGGCGCGGACAGCTGCTGAGTGTGACCATGGGACACCCGGAGTGGAGACTGCTGGGGAGTAACATGGTAACATGTGGATGGGTTTTGTGAAAGGTTAACCACCAGGGTCAAATGGTGCCACTGGCTTCGTCCGGCCTTGAAACACACCGTGAACCTCAAGTCTCAAAGGACTTGTTCCAAGCCGTTTGTAGGTAATGTCCGGCCATTCTGAGAGCGCCTTTGGACTCTGTAAAGCCACCAGTACTGTAAGCTTGTCCTTTTCTTGCAGAACCATGTAGTGTGTCACGTAAGACCATGTCTTCGACCAAGCCATCCTGCGGAGGTTGAACAGCCTTATAGTCCATCCCATATGGTGATGTTATCAGGTCCCAGCTCAGGTCTCAAAAAACCTCTCTTGGATCAAGAGGAGTGCCAGGATCAATGATACCACAGTGGCACAGGTCTCAGGGGACTAGGCCTTGGCAACGAGTCACTTGTGGCACTAGGCTTCCAACTATGTGGTGATGCATCCCTAGGGCTCCAACAAATATCCTCAGGTTGGGTGGTTGGACCCCCCTGGCACCCACCCCAACCACCTTCGAAACGGAGGTGGTTGGAGCCCTAGGGCATGTTCTTCAGACGTCCGAGTGGCAGAGCGGGGGAGCAGGCAGGGTGATGCTTTGTTTGTGCCTTCATTGGAACCGGGACTCTCAGAAAACATGCACAAACAGGACATGTTTCCAGGAGTCACAACGGGGTGGTTTTTGGTCGGTAAGTGAGTGGATGTTCTGGGCACCCCTATCCTCCAAGACGGGCACCCCGTCTTGTGACTGCTGGCAGTGTTTTCTCTTTGTCATGGTTTTGTTCGTGTTTGATTCCGACAGATGAGACCTCCTGACATCCTGAATCCTACAACATCAGAGACCTCTTTTAAGCATGCTCCAGACAAGCAGCTCCCTCTCGTGACCTGTCACATCAACATAGAACTCGAGTTCTGGTCGACGACTGGTCAGCCCAGTTCGGTGCCGTGCGCTGCGCATGGCACGTTCGAAGGCCTTCACGCCACTGCTGGCCCCCTTGCTGAAACAAGAGCTCGAGGCCGACGGGCGAAGAGGTGGCCGAAGAGGTGGTAGAAGGTCCTCCGAGAAAGGACACGGCCGGTCCACTTCGAGGTGTGCCCAGACTGGAAGTCATGTCATATATTGCCGATCCATTCGGTATATACAAGATGATACGTTCGGATGGTCTGGGGCAGAACACCCAGGCAACAGGGCTTCGGCTTCCGGCACTTGGACGCTGACGGCAAGTGCCACCACTGGGCCGGTCGCGACGGCACACTAGGCCACCGTGACCACGGTGGCCGCCCCCGCAGGGTCGGTGGACTTCATCCCGGCGCCGTTTCAGAAAGGGTAGGAAAGGTCTTTCGACCAGGTTCATGTTAGTCAATGACCAGTGCAGGAAAAAGTCTTGAAACGTGTGACAACGGCAGGAAGCAAAGGGAATTGTGATGCTGTCACATGCGCGTCACCAAGGAATCGAACGTTCAACAGGTTCACCAATTGGCACCATCCGAATCGTACCTTGTGGAGTGTAATGGAACGAAGACACCGCTTTACCGCGGTGGAGGACATCTAAGGTCGAGGTTGATTAAGAAGATCCTGGCAAAGAGGTTGCAGCATATGGTCAACGACATCAACTAGTTCCATCTAGTTCCCTTCTTCTCAAAGTTCCACTCAGAGAAGTCCTGGGGAGCTTCAGCCACGTACTTCTTCCACCATCCACACCCCTAAGAAACCTTCCGTATACTGCTATAGGCCGGTACATATTTGGAGTGTTTGGAACACGATTCATCCTGTTTGGTCACTGCTTGTCACTGCTGTGCAGGCGCTACCAGAGTTGGGCGCCCCAGGTGTCTAACCGTTGGGTTTAGAGATGCGACCATCCGGAACAGAGACCGAGGCCTCCGTCATCGCAATGTCTGGACGGTCATCGACAGCACTTTGGTTACGAGCTTCTTCCGGCAGTCGACGTGACTTGCCGAATTGGTCAGATCATGTGAGATCCGTATCTTTCGGAAGAATCATGTGGATTGTTTTTGTCCTTTGCCTCCACCGAAACACAGGGGGAAGTTCGGGCCCGAACCCAAACCCTATTTGCTTCGGGCCCGGATTCTGAGGGAAAGAACCAATGCCTTGAGCCAAGAAAACAGAACGATCAGTGACGGCACCGGTCACCGCTCGGTCGACGGCCCCTCTCGACGCCCGAGGTCGAGCCGGGACTATGTGGCCAAGTGCATGAGGTGCGCAGAGGACCGGTATCGCCTAGGCCACGAGTTCCCAGACCATCCATGTATAATCATGTATATATATATATAGTTATGTTATATAATATGCATGTATTGGGTCTGTTGCATTACCTGGCAACAGTCAGTAAACAAGAACATCACCATTTTAGAGAAAGGCAAAGGCCTGCAACTGAACCATCATCATCCACTGGGCCCTGGTAGACTCGGATAGACTGGAGAGTCTCTACGTTTACTCCATTTCAGACCCCGGTATCATGTATGGTCTGGAGTTGATCAGCTCGGGAGAAAGGATGGGCTAAGTTTGTTTGCCAGATTATGATCATCCACATGGACCTTCCAAGGGTTGTCCAATGGAGATCTCTCAGTAGTGTGTGGGGCTCCAGCCAGGTGAACCCCTTGGCAGGTGCTGGCAAGTGGCATTTGTTGTGGCCAAGGGCTTGTCTAGACTGGTGTCGAGGAGGCGACCATTAGGAACTGAAGTCACTTCAGTCCCCGGAGTGGGCCATTGGACGTGACTGGTGGGCCGTTTGGGCTGGTCCCATCCAGGGGGGGATGTGGAGGTGGAGCATCTGGGCACCGGGCACCTCGAGCTCTGTCGAGCTCTGGGTCCGGTTTGGGCCGGACCTGATCTCATACCGAGTCAATTCAGTTTCGACCATCGAGGCTGTTCAGGGGATTCATTTTCTTCCGAAAAAGGCTTGGACGGGTTCAGGTGGCCGACCTACACATGGAGTAGATATAGTAGATATATACAGTATGTATAATGAACCTGAAGGCATGGAGCTTTAGAAGACTAGCCTCCTCCACAAAGCAGTGGCAAAACAGGAGGGTGTCAACAGGGTGGTGGATTTTGTTCAATCAATCGACTGTTTTACTTGGGATCATGGAACCAACTGACTCATGTCGACTCATCTTTTTCAAGTGAGCCGACTCTGACTCATCTTTTTTCCAAGCACCAAGATTCGACGAACAGCCTGCTAAGGCTAAGTCGACTCGGTTAGCAGTTGAGACATGTTGAGACTGGCTCTGGCTTAGGGTTCGTTGCGGGTTGAGACATGTTGAGACATGTTGAGACGAAAAGCTCTACGAAGCTTTGAACGATGTTTGTCGAGGGATCCACTGCCACCTTCTCAGGTTCGGTACGAAAACGGGCCCTCCTGGCGCTGAATTACATAAAGAGTCGCCGTCCTCACCGTACCTGAGAAGGTTGTTGAGGCTCTAACGACCCTCCATCAGGAGACCTGTCAGATGCTGGGACCGGCCCAAGCTATCGAAGGGCCGGACCGCGGTGAAGACAGAGAAAAGATAGAAAAGCGTCCACGGGGGGGTCCTAGTTCTAAGGGGTTCAAGGGAAAAACACATCAACTTGAGATGGAGATGATTCGATTATTAGACCTTATTGCTCATATAATAAGACATTATTATTAACACAGCAACATAAATATTGGACATGGTTTTCAATTTGTATAATATGTACAATACAAATTGCTATATAGATGTTAAACATATACACATCATGTATGTTACAATCAGCATGTTCATAACTCATATCACGATTTGCAACATATATCCAACACCTTGGATTTTGGGATTCCAAAAGTCCTAGCACCCTTAGAAACCTTGGAGATATCTCTGAGCTGGCTGTAGGGGCACTGCTGCATCGGGATCCCCAAAAGTCCTTCGGCTGGACTGTGGCCAGGCACAAGGCGAGTGAAAGGCCACACGCCTCAGACATCCTCGAAGGCACCGGCTTCGCGGCTTCGACCATGCGGATTCAATAGATCTCCATTTTGGGAAAAGAATGTCATCCTGGGAAAGGCATGCGCACAAAGAGAGAGAGAGAGAGAGCGAGAGAGAGAGAGAGAGAGAGGAGAGACTATACTTAATTCATGGATTCATGTTGATTCTCTGCAGTAGGTACAAGCAACTGACAAAGTCCTACCCCAAGCCATGAAATCATTTGAAATCCATGGGAGACAAGCAGGCATGACATGGGCGTTTCCCTGTAGACCCTGGAATTTCCCTTGAAACACAAGCCACATGGCTGTATGGTCTAGCCGTCTAGCCTGAAGGACATGATGCAGAAGCCATACAGGGGCGAGTGAAGGTGAAGACAAGGTGAAGCTCGCTGTTCCCAATGGATTTTGCTATTCCCATGCGATGCAATTTCCATTGATGAGAACAAGAAGGCAAACCACATCGCAGCAGGGAATGGCCATGTGGGCGGCCCACTCGATACACTCCCAGTACACTCATTGATGGTGACGTGGAGTTCACCACCTGTTTGGTCTTCGGAACATGGGCATCCGAACTCGGGGCCATAGCTTCCAGCTTCCAGTGCACATGACCAACAAACACCATCAAGAACATGATTTTGAAGTCCCATTGGCTTACAGTCGGTTCGTGTGATAAAATCGTTTGAACACTTAACGACTGTGAGGTTTGAGGAACGACCTGCCGATGCAGGTTGCAAACACTGCACTGTTGGTTGAGTCACTGAACAATATTGATTGGCGCTTTCATTGACTTACTCTTCAACCCTTTGCAATGACTACCTCAGCCTCAGTTGACTAATATGGGGTTGAAAGCATCATCAACGACCAGAATGGCTGATGGCAAACCAGCCAAGGTTCGGAAATCCTTCCAACCGTAGGAGTCCGCCCAACAAGGGCGTTCGGGTCACGTGGGCGACTCGCGAAACAAACGCACATCCCGACGCTCGTGGGCGTAGGGGCGCCCTTTGCGAGTCCAACCCTCCAAGTTGTTCTCGTGGAAAATGATGGGTACAACGGTACATACAAGCCCTAGGGATCCAAGTGCCTTCCCAGAAGGTACTTGGGCCCTCCAAACCTACATAGCAGTGTCTCCAATCACCTTTCTGACAAGGTACTTGGATCCCTAGGGAAGTACTTGTTTTGGCTTCGAGGCATGTCCCATTGTACGGCGTGTACGGCGTGTATGGTGCTTTCTCAGCGCTGGACTTGGAAACACCTCTGGGAGGGTCCAGGTACTCATCAAGTGTTTTATTGGGTTCCACGCATACCTTGGGTTTGTTGTTTCGGGCGCTTTTCGATTTTCCCAAACTGTGTGCGCGCGTGTGGGACGCGAATGGCGACGTGGACATGGACTTCTGAAGCACTGATCACAACTGTGCCCATTATTCAAATTGTTTAACATTTTTTTGTGGTTTTGATTGTATTTGTGAAAAGTTGTCTACAAATACAGGAAACCAAACACCCAGGCCCCATGGCCACCCCTTCTGTATTGTTTTTAACCCTCAAATACCAAGCAATTTATTTTGAACAGAGATTTTCTGAAACACTTGGCAAACAAGAAGCGAACATGCCTGTATAGTTCGATCGTTCCAAATTTGATTTCTAGAAATGAACCGCGTGCAGACCTGGCCAAAAAAACATCTGCTGTGCAGGGTGGTGAGCGGCTAAGCGGGGCGCGGACGCAAGTCAAAGAAAGAAGTCTCCCACAGATACATCCCAGTGGAAGACCAGGATTGAATTGCCAGCTCCGTTTCAATGCCCGATTTTGAGGTTGTTCTTCTCCTGGTGTGGGTGACAGGTTGCTCCCAACATCTTAAATCCAATAGGGACACACTTCGAAGAAATGTTGCGAGGGAAACGATGATCCGAGTGAGGTCATTTCTTCCCCCCTGTGAGCATCACTAGTTGGGCTGCTACTTGAAGTGTTCTTGGGAATTTACCAGAGTTTGCTCGGTGATTGCTTTGGACTTGTCCTAACTTCTCCACCTTCATGTGGGAATGGTAACCTCAATTTGGAGTTCCTCAACACATCTCTCAGACGGGTCCCTACCAGACTGGTGCAGACAAATTTGCTGGTGGCCACTCCGCCAGCGGACAGTTGGAAAGTCCAACTATCTATGTCCTTTCTGAAAGTACGCCTTTCCACCGCAACTAGCCGTTAAGGGGTGTCCATGTCGACCACTCCTTGAAGGCACTGGAAGAGTCTACCCTAGCCTGAGAAATCAAGCCAGCAACTCCAGGTCGACATGAATTCTCGCACTCTCTTGCAGTTCGCCCAGGCATGTTTAGAAGTTCTCACCGTCTTGCAGTTCGCCCCCCCAAGTCTCCAGTGTCAAACATTGCAGGCCGAGAAAGGTCCAGCATGGGGTCCGACACATGTCTCATCAAAAGAGCACCTTTTCAAACGAAAAGGCCTTGAAAAAGAGGAGCCGCTGCGCGCGAAAAGGTGGTTGTTAGCGCGCGACAGCGGCCTGCTGTAGCTCGACTTGCTGTAGCGAACGAACGAACTACTGCGCAATGTCATATATCCTATCAACATGGAACAACTCATCACCCAGTACGCATTTCTTGGCCACATAGTGAACGTACAACTTTGTTACATTACATCATTGCATACTGTATCATCATGTATCTACCCCAACCACCTTCTCTCAGGAAGTTCCAGGAAAGGCTCCAGTGAGTTCGACCTTTTCCTACCAGTACCCTCCAACAGGTGGCAATTGGTTTTCGAATTTTATGTTGTCTAACAGTAGACAAGGGGACACCTGTTAGATAACATGGTTATACCCTTCTATGAAAACCAAATGCCACCTGTCGGAGGGTGTAAAGTCATGTTGGTCATGTCTGACATACCTGATTCCCATCAGGTGATGTAACAAAAGCACACTGCACGGAAGTACTATGATTTAGACCTGTGGAACCTTAAATTGGGATATTCCTGCACCACCGCCCCCGGTCGAAGCTGCACGGCCTCTGCCACTATTTTCAAGCTCACCGAGAAGCAGGTGGAGGTGTCGCTGGCATGGTTCGTGCACCAACGAAACGGACAGAACAGCTTTCAAGCTTTGTTCACCTGAACAGTCAAGTGTTCATTTGTCCATGTTAGTCCGTTAGCTGGCGCATCCACCGACAGCAAACGTACGCCATATATCGGTTCAAGACCACCCACCCCATCTTTACAGGGTTTGCTTCCCGACATAGGCGTTTCAACTCTCCCATACCGTCTTCATCCACATAGCAGGATGAATGGAGCGGGTTCACCAAGGATGCCATGTCTGCCAAATGCTCTAACCTTAATAGTCCAAAAAAGGTGACAGTTCAGTTTAGAAACTTTGCCAACACTTCAGGAAGTCAAAGCACAGCGTACACTTCAACAAGATACTTATGGTATTTCGGGCGTAATCGCCATAGGAGCAATCCTTTCTCAATGGATTCCTGCGCAAGCCCTTGGATATGGCAAAGACTCAGGATCCTGGAGCCATCACACAGCCATTTAACAAGGAGTTAAGTTAGGCCATTTCAATCCAGGGAGCAATTGTGTGCAGATCTGAATAAGAAAGCTGCTTGCTGTAAACGACGCTGATTCTCGGGCAATAGTGTGGCATGAAGGCCAGGATTGTTTGCTTTGCTTGCTGCCTTCCGCATCACGACCAGATTCGTGAATATAGCAGCAACCATCCTTTCACTGGCATGATTGTACACAAACATACCCTCACAGCCGTGCAAAAATGCAAGCACAGTAGCTGCCAAGGAACGAAGAATGTGTGCAATCAGGATTGTCCTCTGCGATGTTCAGGGCAATCTTCATGAGCCAAATCGCTAGGACTGCACATTCCTCGGATGACTTGCGTACAAAAGCAACACCTCCAAATGATCCACTCTCCTGGCAAGCAGGTTTCCTGCAAAGGCTCAGATCCATTCATGAATTTCTGCGCAAAGGTTGGATAGGTGTTGGCTCCATTGGGATAAAGATTCTTCCTGAGGCAATGTCAAGGCAGGTGTATGTAAACACACTCACAAGTCATGAGCATGGGTTCAACCAAAACCTGCATTGCAAGGTGCCTTGAGAAGAATACACCCCTGTTTCCTCAGGTTTACAGTTTTGGGCTTTGACAAAATTACAAACATCAACTTCTCACACTCTGTTTCCAAGGCACGGATTCCATGTTTCTTGCAGGCACCGCTGAACAGCCGAAATGCAGTCAGAAGTTTCTCATCCATGGTCCCATCACCGAAGGTGCTAGAGTCTCTGGAAGTTTGTTCTATCCTCGGATCTTCTCTAAAGACCAGTGACTCATAGCAAACACACAAATCGAACAAAACTGAACTTAAACAAGCATCAACATGGATGCAGCACATTCGGGAATGATGCAAAGGTCAACGATGTGCAGCCAATCATACACGATCAAACCTATGTCCCACCCTGGCACAGTAGTGAACGTTTGGCACCTGCTGACATTCTCAATGAAATGTGGTCCAGTCGTGAGTGTTTGTCGATGCTTTGCACCGCGTCCAAAATCTGTGTAAAGAAGTTCAGGATCAGAGACCGAGGCACGGCAGTGAAGGCAAACGCTGGATGATACCCATGAACTTGTGGGCTTGTAAACACGTTGATGATACTTTTCATCACCTTTGTGCATCATGAAGATGCACTTCCATCCTCCAGCTATCTGTCCGTTGCGCTGTTGGTCAGGGCCCGGAGGGTGATATGGAGAACCCCAGGGGTCTGTTGTAAAGAATCGTCCTTCTTGTAACTCCATCAAGCTCCATGACACCCATTTCTCAAGGGTCCATGCTGTCTCTGGAACACTCTGAGCGTTGTCGAGGCAAAAAAGCACAATCTTTGTATCAAACATAGGCCCAGATACAGATAGACTAGCCATTGTACAAATATTGAAGTTGCGCCTTCTATGGGAATCACAATCGTCCCCATGAATAGTCAAGGGAATGCACCGGCTGAGGTCCGTGTCCTCAGCCAAGGCATGCCAAGGCTATCCTCAGATCAAACTACCACTTTACTTTTGAGTCATCAATTACCCCCAAAACCTTGTTGATTGGAAGGTGCTGGAAAATAAACGGCCCAAAAAGAAACTGCGTGTGCAAGACAGTCTCAGCCCTGCTCAGGACAGGGTGATTCCGAAACCAACTTGTGTGCTGATACGAGTTCCAAATCTCATCAATGGCCTGAACATCCACATCCACGACACGGACTAAGCTAAACAATGAAGCTATTAAAAGAAAGAAAATAATACACAGTGGTGGCCCAATAACTTAATTAAGAACAAGTCACCCCTGGTGGTCCAACGAATCTTGCACGGAAAAGCTCTTGATCATAGTGATAGATATGTGAGACCCTAAGGTGCAAAATAACATGCACTACAACAAAGCACATAGTAGCAAACCGGCAATAGTTCCTATCAGAGTGATGTCAAGAGACACGTCACTAGGAAGCAGCAGGTGCCAAGATCCCAGGAAGATTGAGCGCTCGAAGCTATAGTCTTGAAGAAGTACTGTCACCCTACAGCAACACTCACATTCCAACAGTCAAATGTTTGAAGCAATGAAACTTCTAACAACTTATTTGCATGCATGGTGCTCAACAGGTGGAGGAAGCATCTTCCGCCAAGGTTGCCTGTTGAGCCACCTCCAAAAGGTCCGGCCAAAGTTTTTCTCTTCATCACCATCGAGCAGATCCACTAAATTGCGCAAGTTTTTCCTTAGCAAATTAAGTTTAGTGGGCATACACACTATATGAAAAACACAGAAGCATATGACCAAGATTCGGTAAATGCCGGCCTGGTATTCTTCGCCGAAGTATCCGAAACAATGCTACTATTGTCACCACCGAAACCTTTGTTTGGTAGATCCAGCACACAAATGGTAAAGCAACAGCTGATAACAGAGTTGACAAGTTGTGCAATCAGCCAAGAAACCGTTCGAGTAATCTCCAAAAACTCCTCCACGATATCCATCGCTCACTGCTGTGCGATGGTCATGAGCAGCACAAGTAACATGGGTGAACAGAACATAAATTGAAAACGCCGTGTTCAGTGCATGCGTTCCATGAACTAACTCCTCCTATGGACCAGGGCAAAAATCAGTGATATTTACACACCTGCACACACACAAGCTCACCTCAAACAGATTGTGATTCCAGCAGAATTGAAACATGCTGCAACCAAACCTTTTGAACCCCCAAAGCACAGTGTGGTTTCACACCATGGTCATAATGGCCTTTTGGCCACATCAGCCAGCATGTGGTAACATGCTGTCACCACAACACCGTCCACACGCCAGGCCGCAAAGACGTGTCGCACACGTGAATCTTGGCTCATCAGTGTGTCCAGGACTGGCTTTAAGGTCAAGTGCAGGGGAGATTAACTTATTGGAAGGTAGTGTGGTTGAAAACAATCAGACTTCTATCCTTTTTGAATACGCCAGCCCCTTCAACACTGTTGTTCATCCAGGGAACAGAAACAAACATGTCTCCAACACTGTTCATAAAGACTTTTGAGTGGGTATACCAGTGTGGGGACCATTGACACTTTCTTCAACAACACCAGTCCCCAAATCCAACCAACACAACCATCTCTTAGTGAGCCTAGTTCACATTGTGAAATACCCCTACTCAGATGCTTCGGAACAAGACTCAGAATCAAAGACTTCATCAGCATTATTCTTCTTTTTCTTGGGCCGCATTGCGTTGACCCGCCTTTTGGCATCACGGATATCCACATCCACATTCTTTAAACAGTGTTTGGTGTCCTCGATGAAGCAGGCAACCTCCTCTGTGTTCAAACTTGAGCTTGGCTGCGAAGATTTGTCCACCACTTGCTCCATGTGGTGGTCCACAGTGCTCTGATGGCCCCTCAAGCTGGCCACCTTGAGCAGCAACCCAGGTCACCCCCACCAAGGAAAAGGAAGTCCAACACTCTGCAAAAAATAAACGTTGAATTGGGACAAGACACCAACTCCTTGCAGTTTCGGACACCAAAGGATTCAATCTCTTGAAGGCACTTCGGGATATCATTTGCCAAACTCTTCACCCTGAGTTGGGAGATGCACCATTGAAAAAGTCAATCATGCACACTCGGGAACATTCACCCCAACATGTGGTGAGTCATGAACCGACATAGCAGGAAAAATGCAAATAATCCAGGTAACTTGCTTGACAGGGTCTTGAGATTCTTAGCTGCTACATCCTCGGGGGCCTTCTCCTTCGGGACCTTCTTTTGTTTGAGTTGGCCTGTCTTGAGGTCGAACTCCGGCATGTTGTCAGCAACAGTTTGGAGTTGCTGAGCCACGATTTGTTTGGACTCCTTGTCCTTGACCCTCCCACTGATAGCTGCCTGGGTGCATCAAAGGTAAAGACACACCAACGACTGCTCCCTGTTTTCAAGACACAAAGCGAATAAACACATATGTTGTAAAGGTGCAATCAGCCAAGAGGCAGAGGTCTCCTGAGATGTTCCGGTGACTTTGCATTCCAACACAGATCGCAAGACCTTGTACATAGTGGCATCTTTGCATTGCGGTGCCTGCCAAGGAAAGCTGAAGGCGACAGAAGAGTGGAAAGTCAACAAGCTGATCAAGGCCTGTGGGTGCGGTATGCCCTTTTGGCCTCGGAAACAAGGGCTTAATGTATTAGCACACGAGCTAGCATACAGCCCAGGAACCTTGCAAAATAGTTGCAATGAACTGCTTTGCGGACTTGGATTTTCCAAACATCCTTTTGAGCTGTAGAAGTGTCACCTGGGGCAAGCCAGTGAAATGCAAAGAGTCAAATATATCAGATATATCAGAACAGCGTGGTTAATATTATTGGTTGCATCAATCTATGATCATGACAAGGGACAGTTTCGTAGTTGTCCTTCCGCTTTTGTTCTGCAAAGGACCGGTAGCGTTCTTCAACTTCCACTGTTGAAAGGTCTGGGTTCGCAATAAATGCCTTTAACATAGTGAACCTCAGCACATTGGGAACCTATGGTCCAACAAAACTGCAAGCTGTGAAATTTGAATTTCTTTTCAGTAAAGATAAAAGCTGTGAAACCTTCAGCTTCCATTCAGAAAAGTAACCTTTCACCATCACTGCACATGCGCATTTTTTGGATTAAAGCGGGGTTCATGCTTTTCTTTACAGCACGACCAAGGGCCGCATACTGACGTTTCCTTTCACCTGATTCCATGTCGCTTGGCCCACTCATAGCTTGAATTCTCTCGATTTCTTCTGGATCTGGACACCTCACTCGTCTTGTTCGCGACGATGAAGCTATAGATGGTGGGCTCTCCTGTCGGTTGGATTCAAATTTAGATCTAAAATGTGATGTGTTCGGTTCAAGTTCATGGAACAAATCCAGCCTCACTCAAACCACCAAAGGACATGGCACGCCGAGGAGTGGTCAAATCAAGAGATTCCATCGTAGACTGCTTCTCAAGGTGGGCCAGCGGATCCTTAACCCAAGATAGTTTAAACAAACAGTCAAGCTCTTTGACAAATATATCGGAACAAAGGGAACCAGAAGGTAAACGCAGTCCAGTCTCTTTGGCTCTTTGAGCAGTCAGCTGGGTGGAAGGCTCAGAGCGTTCAAAGACCTGAACTTTTACTTTTTTGGCTGGAGCCTGACGACCATCTGGAGAACCAGGTCGCTTTCCAGATTGTTTTTCGTTCTGATCTTTTGCACTCTCAAGCGTCTTGATTTTCTTCGCTTTGGCTTCTATGTCACCTCCTTCGGCAGATCTCTTTTCATTTGTCTTCACCCCAGAACCTTCTCCCCTTGTTTCCTTTGATTTATCCTTCTGATCCTTCTTGTCAGCCTTTGCAGCCTGCACCTTCTCCGCATCCTGGTCGGTCTTGGTGTTGAGGTCAACATGTGAGGAACACTTTTCCTTTTCCTTTTCCTCCTTCTTGTCCTTCTTATCTTCCTTCTTGTCAGCCTTTGCAGCCTCTGCCTTCTCCGCATCCTTGTCAGTCTTGGTGTCAGCAACACTGGAGGA